TGTTGTTGCTTCTGTGACCCTGAGTTGTGTCACCAGTCTACACCCCCAATGGCGTCGCGTTTGGCGTCTGCGTCACACCCATATGGGGCCATAGGGTGGACGTAGGGTGTAGTGGGGTCGTTGCTGTCTCACTTCGTGCTGCTTTTCCTTCATGATCCATCTTGCTGACACACACACGAATCTTTCATTTGGTCGCCATTGTCATTCTTTTTGACAACTGCCCCTCGTTCTCTTCTTCGTTTTTCTTCGTCTTCCACCACGTTGAGAGATGAGATGTGAGAGAGAGAGAGAGAGAGAGAGAGAGAGAGAGAGAGAGAGAGAGAGAGAGAGAGAGAGAGAGAGAGAGAGAGAGAGAGAGAGTCAGTCATTTTTTGCTTCACGGGGTAAAGCCGCGTGCATGTCTGTGTGTGTGTGTGTGTGTGTGTGTGTGTGTGTGGACTCACGATCAGAGAGAGAGAGAGAGAGAGAGCTGGCCATGGTTGCTGCTGCGCCTCCTGCCTTGGCCCTCGAGACCTGTTCCCCTGCTTGCTTCCCCTCGTTTTGGCTTGACCTCTCACATACACATACACGCACTTGTCGCTCGGACTGACTTTGCCCCGTGATTGACTCATCATGCTCTTTTGAATCACGCTGGCGTGTAGGCTCAGTGAAGAGGAGGCTCCCGTGCTCGACGCCTCCCCTTGACTTCCCCCGCCCATCCCTGAACAACACATCCAAAGAAAGAAAAAAAGCGCCCCCACCCCCCCTGTGCTTGAGCTCCCTTCTCCTGCGGCTGGCTGGAGGGGGTTGCAAAAGCATGTCCTCCCAGCTTCTCTGCGGCGTCTTCCATCCTTCGATTTCCTGACACTGCTACATCAGAGCCCTCCCCGCCCTGTGCCTCGACAATTTGGTTGCCAATCCCCTGGTACCCGACACACATCTCCCTGTCCAAACTATTGTTGGAACCCCCCCTGCCATCCGTAAGCCCGTTGTATTTCTATTTCTATTTCTATTTCCAATCAACCAGTCTTCTCCTCGCATCCCGCGCCCGCCCAAGCCCCCTCGATCGTCTCGGCGTTCCGCTAATCTAGTCCCCCCCCCCACTTCCCCTTCTTATAGTTTGCTGATGGAAAGAATGGCCCTGCACAACAAATCTCAGCATGATGGCGGCACCCGTGCCCCCCTCTCTTTGCGCCATCTCTCCACCGCCAAGGTCGTCACGCCCCCCGACGTGGGCGTCGAAGCTGATGAAGATCCCGTCGTCACGGTACGCTCATCACCACCTGCCCGCAATGCCCTCGGCCAGCCAACAACCCAACTGGCAGTCATCCACCGCGTGTCATCTCACCCTTGCCTTTCTTTCCGGGAACCACAACCTTGCATCGGGTCTTGCCGCGCCTTCCTTGTGTGCAGGTCTGGGGTTACGCCACTAGCCCCCTGCGCCTCTTCCTATGGTACATGTGCGCCGTGCTCACGGGCGGCCTCTTGCTGCTCGTGGCACGCTGGCTGCCCATCTGGAGCTTAAAGTGCCGCTGCCGCCGTTCCATGCTCACCGCGGCCACCCATCTTCTGGTTCTCCGCCGTTCCGGCGGTGTTGACGTGGAATCCTTTGTCAACAACCCCGGTGCCAATAACGGTGTCCCCACCAATTGGCGCAAAAACGGCTACGATTGCCTCGCCGACGCCGATCCCGTCGAAGACTCGGAACCCATGCAATTCCACCACCGCCACGTGCGCTACGTCTGGTGTGCTGAAAACGAGCAATTTGAACGCGTCTGCGGCCTCGACGTTGCCACCCCCACCTCCAAGCTCCTGGCTTACGCCCACAACCAAGAGCAGCAGTACGTTCACACACACAACCCCGCACCACCCGCTGGCCCCTTGCCTCAGACGATTCAAAGAGTCTTCCGCGAAACTTCCGGGCCCTCATGAGTTGTGACCACCGCCGCTTTTGCTTTTATTCCAGGTCTTCCACTCGTCCCAGCCTCATTTACCGCCATGGCGCCAACACCGTGGACGTGGAAGTCAAATCCTACATGACTTTGCTCTTTGAAGAAATCCTCTCCCCCTTTTACATCTTCCAAATCTTTGCCATCATCCTGTGGGGTTTCGAATTGTACTACTACTACGCCGGCTGCATCGTCTTGATCACCATTGTCTCCGTCACCTTGTCTCTGCTTGAAACGCGTCGTAACGCCGAAGCCCTTCGTGACATGGTTGCCTACGAAGGCGTCGTCACCCGCATCAAAACCCCTGAAGGTCGCCATGGCATCGAGGTTAGCCTGCTCCTTTTGCCTCTCGCGCATCAGCCCTTTTTGCCCTCCCCCTGACCATGCTCCCCTCCCCCACATTCGACAGGTTTCTTCAAGCGAGCTGTTGCCTGGTGATCTCTTTGAAGTACATGAGGGTGACCTCGTGCCCTGTGATGCGGTCATCTTTGAAGGCGGTTGCGTCGTCAATGAGAGCATGCTTACCGGTGTGTGGCAACGCGCCATCAGTTTCCCTCTCCACAGCGATGCATGAGCCCTCACATCAATTGTGCGTGCAGGCGAGAGTGTGCCCGTCACCAAGACTGCGCTTCTCCTCGAGCAAGATGATCCCGTCTTCAACATTGAGAAGCAAAAGGCCCACACTCTTTTCTACGGCACTCAAGTGCGCGCGCGCACTCACTTTTGTCTCAGTCCATCCGAGAAAATACCCCCCAATGCCACTTTTCATGTCCTATCAATGCCATCCTTTGCTTTGCAGGTGGTTCAGCTGCGCTCGCACCGGCTAGTGGCCATTTGCATCCGCACAGCCTTTGATACTTCGAAGGGCCAGCTCATCCGCTCCATTCTCTACCCCAAGCCAACAAAGTATGCACCGTGTTCTCCCTCGTTCAACTTCACACCAGTCCTCGCGCTCTTTCGCCGCCTCACCGGTCCACATACATTCAGATTCCGCTTCTACCAGGATGGTATGCGCTTTTTGATGGTGCTCTCCTTTTTTGGAGCCGCTGGCTTCATCTACAGTGCCGTTGTTCTGACCAGTCGTGACGCCCCCATTGTCAAAATTGTTAAACGTGGTTTTGACATTCTCACAATCGTAGGTCCCTGCTCCACTCCAGACGCGCGTTTTCCCCCTCTCCCCGAGCCATGTTGGGCTCTGACACCTTGTGTCACCCGCCCGCCCGCCCGCCACGCTAGATTGTGCCACCCGCCCTGCCGGCGGCCATGACCGTGGGCACCATGTACGCCATCACCCGCCTAAAGAAGCAGAAAATCTTTTGCATCAGTCCACCCCGTGTTAATGTACGCTTTCTCACCGCCTGCCTTGCACTTGCAATGTCCACGCACTCATCCTACTCGTGGCCCATCACCCAACCGCCGTTGTTCTGATGCTTGTCCTGGTGTCCGTAGGTGTCCGGAAAGATCAAACTTTTTTGCTTTGACAAAACTGGTACCCTTACCGAGGATGGTCTCAGCCTGCACGCCCTACAAGAAACCCACCAGGGTGCGCTGCGCGAGTCGAGCCTCGAGCCTTCGCCTGGCTCGAGCAACATCATCAACATGGAATATGCCCTTGCTTGCTGCCACTCCCTGGCCATCTCTCGCCTGCAGAACGGCGATGTAGCGCCCATCGCCCCGGCCGTACCCAGCGAACAATCCCTCATCGGTGACCCCCTGGAGATTCAGCTGTTTCTGGCTAGTCAGTGGGTACTTGTCGAGGCCCAAACCCCGGCGATCCGCCTCAACGCCACGGGCAACCGTTTGCAAGACCTTTTTGCACAGCAGCTTGGCCCGTCCTCCTTTGTCTATCGTGAGCACGACCAAGGCGCTTCGGCATTGCTCATGCTCAAGGAGTATGCTTTCTCGTCCCACAAGCAGCGCATGACCGTGCTTGTGGCCAGTTACGATGTGAACCTCCATGACCACGAGGCGTGGACCGGCGTCCCCACCCCCCGCATCGTGGCCTACGTCAAGGGGGCACCCGAGCGCATCGCCAAGCTTTGCAACCCCAAGACCTTGCCGTCGGACTTTGAAGACGTCTTGGCTGCCTACACACACCGAGGCCTTCGGGTCCTTGCTGTGGCAGGCGCCTTCCTTTCCACGACCGACCTGGCCGAGGCCAAGGCCATGCCTCGCGAAAAGGTTGAACGGGATCTCACCTTTCTCGGTTTTGCCATTTTCGAGAACCGTGTCAAGCCGGAAACGGCAGGCATCCTGGAGCGATTGCATCAGGCCCACATCCGAACAGTCATGATCACGGGTGACAACGTGCTCACCGCCTGCAGCGTAGCCCGCTCCTCGGGCATGGTACCTGCCAATGCGCCCATTTTTTATGCTTGCGTCAACGGACCTACCGCTTTTTTGCGCGAGGATGAAGAAGAACCCGAGGACCTCGACTCTGGCCTCGTTGATGATGCCCCTGGTGTCGTCTTCAAGGATGAGGAAGATGCGACCACCGTTGCCCAGGATGCGCACAACATCCAGGTTGACGTGAGCCACCTCTTGCCGTGGGGTGTGCGCTTCGTCGAATTCCCCCATCTTGCCCGCGACCGTCCCGTTTCGGCCTGGTACTCGCCCCCCACGGGCTACGCCGCCATTGCCGTTACCGGGCGCGAATTTGGCACCATCCGGCGTGAGCATCCGCAGTTTTATCAACGCCTTCTTGTATCGGCCACCATTTTCGCCCGCATGGCTCCAGACCAAAAGGCACAGCTCATTGAGGACCTTATTGCCCTCGACTACTGCGTTGGCATGTGCGGCGATGGCGCCAATGACTGCGGCGCGCTCAAGGCGGCCCACGTCGGCGTTTCGCTTTCCGAGGCCGAGGCCTCAGTGGCTGCCCCCTTTACCTCCAACACGCCCAACATTAGTTGTGTCGACACGCTCATGCGTGAAGGCCGAGCGGCCCTGGTGACCTCCTTCTCCTGTTTCAAGTTTATGGCCCTGTATAGTTTTGTTGAGTTTTCCAACGTCCTCATCCTGTACTGGATCGACTCAAACCTGGGCGATATGCAGTATCTCTACGTTGACCTCGTCCTCACTTTGACCCTGGCCGTGTGCATGGGTCACACGGCCGCGGGACCGCGCCTGGCCCCCAAACGCCCAGCTGGCAGTCTCGTGTCTCCAGCTGTGCTTGTTTCCATAGTGACACAGATTTTGCTCAATGTTGGAGCTCAGGTCGCCATTTTGGAGATGGCGCGGGCGCAGTCGTGGTTTCAACCGCTTCACGCCTTGCCCGATTCCAACAATATCAAGTGCTACGAGAACACGGTCACCTTTCTGTTTGCCAACTTTATCTATGTGGCCGTGGCTGTGGCGTTTACGTCAGGCCTGCCTCATCAGGCCCCCGTGCTTCACAACTACAGCTTCATTGCGGCAGTGGTGGGTCTTACGGCCGTCAACGTTCTCTTCATTGCTTGGCCCACCTTGTTCATTCGTACGACGCTCCAAACCTACATCATTCCCGACTGGAACTTTCGCATTGTGATGCTGGGCATGGCTGCGGCGTATGCCTTCATTTCAGTGGTGATTGATCGCGTGAGTACCAACAGCACCACCTTCCGTCGTCTGATCAAGGCCGTGTTCTACAAGACCAAGTATAAGAATGCCTACAAGCAAGTGGCGCGCGACGTCATATCCGATGACTGGCTGCAGATCTCGAGCAAGAGTAAGTCATCGAGCGTGTGAAGCTGGTGCCTGACAGTCGGCCGCAAGGATCTCGATGAAGAGCAAACGAACGCCAGAGACGTTGTTCCGTTTAGCTACAGAGCCCATCCCCCCCCCTCTCTCTCTCTCCCGCTTGTTGATCATTGCTGGTGATCAAGTGTGCTGGCGCTTGGCGATGGCGCGCTCTCGCGCTTTGGATTGACTCTTTGTTTGCTTGTCATGTGATTGTCTCTTGTCGCGCCCTCTTGTCTTGTATGGGGGTTGTGTGCTCTTTTTCCATGTGAGCAGAATCATCGGTGTATTAGGTACCATCCTGTTTGACCTCGACGCAACGAGGCTAATTCGGCATGACTTGCTCGTCCCGGCCTTGAAATCTTGTGATTGTAAGGTTGGGTGGGATGAGTTGGAAGGTTTGACTGGAAAGATTTTCGTTTGTTTGTTCGTTTTCTTTGGCATGTTTTTTTTTTTGTTTAGTTGTAGTGATTAGAGGTTTTCTTTCGATTGTTATCACGGGTATACTTGCGCTTCTGGCCCCACCAATTCGGAGCGTGCTGGCTTGGAAGCATGAGCCGCATGTGTGGCTTTCATGTGCCGATTTTGCGCCATTAGCGTTTGTGGATTGGGCTCCATCTCCGAACAACCGACAGACTTTCAGAAGAATCGATTAATTGTTGCGTGCAGTGTGTGTACGTTGAACGACTGGCTTTGAGCACATCATTGGCCATATTACTCATTCACATGGGAAAATAACCAAGTCGGCAGCTTGCCTTTGCCTGAAATCATGAGAGGGGGACTGTGGGTTGAACATCTGTATCTGAGCAAATGACTGTCAAGAGATTGCTGACCAGGCGGGCCGATTCATGTTCCTGCATCTCAACGCCATTGAGCTGCAACACATGTACGCGTGGTCATGAGATAAGAGTGAAGGAAAACGAGGTCTCGACAAGAAGGAGCGCATTCGCAGACCTTGAGAGCATTGAGTGCCGAGGCAGCAATGTCAACGGCGCCATTGACAATGGTTGAGCGGGCTTGCACCATGGCCGAGGCCTGGAGAAGCGAATTGGCGTTAAGTAGAGTTTGGCAGAAAAAGAAGCAGGCAACGGAGAAAGACAATGTGTTAACAGACAATACCTGCTGGCGTTTCAGCATGGCAGCTGCAATGACGGGTGCATATGAGATTTCCTTGAGGCCAAAAGAGTGCACATGAATGCCCGATACGTGGACAAGCGCCTGCAGGGTGAAGACCAAAAACAAGGTGAGAGGATGCATGGGGTGGGGGTTGAGTAGACGTCAGCAGGCACATGGTCCTGTGCGAACGCTTTGAGATGCAGTCTGACCCACCTGCAAGCGCTCACGCAGCATGGCGGAGACTTCGTGTGAGTGGGTGCGCAGGGACGGGACGCCCTCGGCTGCCTCGTAGGGGAATTGTCCCATAACCTAACAACACGCGATTCAAAGGCCGGCCTGTGAGTCATGTAAGGGGGACGGGTTGAGAACAGGAAGGGGGCGCCAACGGAGCAGATAAAACGCACGTCCTTGAGAACAGTTTCACCCTGGGTGATGAGAAAAGTACGAGGATTTTCCACCTCGAGCGCGGCCTGCCTCAGGAGGTCGAGTGTGAGAAAGCCGAGGAAAAAGAGGAAAAGGAGAACCGAAGCAAGTTGAATGGTGTAGAGATGAGAGTGACATGGAAGCTATCCAACCTTGTACGAGTCGACAAATTGGTAGGTCACCACGGCAGAGATGACGAGGGGGTTGCCCTCACGATCCATCACGGTGCGGCTAGCAAACGAGGAGGGATAGCAGGAATATCCGTTGAGCAGGTAGAGCAGACCCGAGCGTTGGTGAGGCGGGGAGGCGGTTGAAAAAAAGGCTCGTTATCAAAGAGGAAAGAAAGCGCGCGCGCGCGTGCGCGGGCGAGCAAAGAAGCCGAGAACAAAGCCCTTACCTTTTGGCGGGCAGGTCCATGGACTGCAGTTTGGTGCTGATGACGCGTTTGCTGCGCCCAAAGACGTTGGAGTAGTGGAGGCCGGGCTTGCGCACGGTGCGTTCGTAATTGCCAAAGCGCAAAATCACGGCTTCGGATTGGACATCCAAAACAAAAAAGGATCTGCGCAGAGGTCAGGGTGCCCGCGGGATACATGAGGTGGGGGTGGCGCAAAGGAGGCTTTGGCGGCGAGGTTCAGTCATGGTTACGTACGCGAGGCAGCTTGTACCAAAGCTGAGCGGGCAGAGCAAGGTCTGCAGGCAGCACGAGATGGGGTGGCAGAACATGCCCTTGGGCTCATCCGCCAAATCATCTCGATCAGCGGGCGGGAGGAGCTTGATGGCTTCCATCGTTGGTTGCCGGTCCATGGAGGGGGAGATCTTGCTCAGGCCGGCCATATTGGTAGTAAGAGCTCAACGGTAGCCACGAGGGGAAACTGTGCGCGATCGATCGTCAACTTGAGCGCGTCAGCCACAGCCAATAACGCAGTCCAAGACCAAGGACACGAAGCAGCGTTGGCGTTGGCGTTGGCAGTGGTGGTGGTGGTGGTGGTGGTGGTGGTGAACAGGGGCAGCGGGGTCACTCCTGTGGGCGAGTTTTCAAGATCAGCAGAAGCAGCACAGCGGCTCGAAGAAGAAGAAGAAGAAGAAGAAGAAGAAAAATGAAAGATGCTCGACGAGTGGATTCAAGGTCAACTCACTCCCACTCCCCTCCCAGCCTCAGCTCCAACCCCCAGCCCCAGTCCCAGCTCCAGCCTCAGCTCCAGGTCCAGTCCCAGCTCCAGTCCCAGCTCCAGCCTCAGGCCCCCCGGGCCTTCCTCCAGCTCCAGTCAGCTGCTGCCCGTATACGTAACCCTCGACCCCCGCCCTGCAAGATGAGAGAGAGAGAGAGACACAGAGAGAGAGAGAGACAGAGAGACGTTACAAGAGGGACGTTACGTGTGTGTGTGTGTGTGTGTGTGTGTGTGTGTGTGTGTGTGTGTGTGTGTGTGTGTGTGTGTGTGTGTGTGTGTGTGTGTGCGAATTCCTCTCTCTCTCTCTCTCTCTCTCTCTCTCACATGTGGTAGTTGTGCTTTTCCTTTGTGTCTTTGCTCTTTACTTCTCTCTTTCTCAAACCGACCAAACCAATTCATCTCTCTGTCTCTCTCTCTCTCTCTCTCTCTTTCTCAAACATCTTCAAACTCTCTCTTCTTACTGTCAGAGTCAGCAGAAGGAGATGGGGCTTATGGAGGTGCGGGGGAGGGAGGGAGTGCTGATGGGCAAAGGAGCGCAGCCATCAGCACTCGGTCTGTAGGGGTGCTGACCCAATAACGCTCAAAGTTCAAGTTGGAGGAAGGGACGGAAAGCTCGATTCCGCTGAACTGTGTTCCTCTTTCTCCTCTTTCTGCCTTGCCCCCGAGGATGGAGCCAAGGTGATGTTTCCACACGCGCGGAAAGGACAAGGCTCACCGCTATAGCGCAGGCTCCTCCATGGCCATCATCGCTCGTCGCAGGTTGTGATGCGTGTGGGGTCGGGGCTCCTCATCCTCAACTGCCAGTCCAGACATGCCACGCAACGACACGCCACGTTAACAAGTGAGAACAATTTGCCAGCAACAAGCTGTATGGATGCATGAATGTGTGTTTGTCCAAATGTCTGTCTGCATGTATGAATCCGATATATCCGATGTATGCATGTCTGTATACATTCATGGCTGAATGTGCGTGCATGATGTGTGAACCTGGATAAATGTGCAAAGGTCTATGACATGTCACCAACCACACGGTCTTTCAAGGCAACATACATGAGTGCACGGGGCGATGGGCTGTTCCGTCCCGTGTTCCCAGTCCGAGGTCGTCGTCCCCGACACTGCCGCGGTTCTGAGCGCTGGCCGTTCGCGCTCGCCGCGCCGCCACGGTGGCTATCATTCCAGTAAATAAAGAACAAAAGGCGATATGAGTTTTCAAGAACTTGACGTTCCAGCTACAACGCAGGCTCGCACAAAATCTGAAGGACGTACCCTTGACTTCCTCAAAGCTGAGAGCTGCCAGCGCCGCTGAGGCGTTGATCCCGGGCTCGCCGCGTACCGTACCGTTCACGTGCGCCTCGATGGGCGGAAGTAAAGGAACGCGCGAGCCCCCATGTACCCCGCGACTGGGATGTCGATGCCCAAAGGTTCCCCCACGATGTCCACCGCGAACTCGGTGTCGAGGCTGCGCACAAAACAACAACGGTGTTGGAGTGAGTTGCAAAAGACAGAAGATTAAAAAATTGGAAAACAAAACAAAAAAAAAAAAAAAAAGATCCAGTCGGTGCCGCGCAAGGTGCTCGTGGTCAAAATAAGCTAGAGCCAATCAAAAATAAAAAAAAAGAGGGACAGACCGGTTGAGGTTGACGCAAGAGCTGTTGCTGGGCCTTGAGATGCAAACGTAGTTGCGAGGTTGGCCCGCCCCGCGGAAATGGAGCCGCCGCAAAGCCCTTCTCTTTGCTGGACGCAGGACTGGGTCCATGGCGCACCCGGGCTGGTTTGCGAGCCCCGTTGCCATGCCGCGAAGTGGGGGCTGCCAGGTGCAACGTCGCAGCAAAGGACGTTTGCTGCCCATCGGTGGGCCCCAGGGAATCCTGGCGGTCGCTCATGCCCCCACGGGAACGCGAGCGCAGACCAATGGCCATGGCCGAACCCACAATCGAGGGACCCGGCGTCCCCACGGGACTAGGTGATTGCCCATCTCCAGTCCGCATCAGATTCACCTGGGCCTGGTCCGAGGACAGAGCTGGCTGCCCAATGCGACTTCTTCGACGTGGCCGCGGGGTCGTTGAAGTGCCTGGGTGCGGCAGAGGGCTGCTGCGTGGCTCCAGAGCCGGACTAAGGCAAGGCCACACAAGGCAGGATGAATAATCTCCACCCTCGTACCCAGCCTGAGGACACATGATAAAGAGGTGCACATGATAAAGAGGTGCACGTTCACGTACATCATCGTATCGGCGTCCGCCTGCCGCACAGTGAGGACATCCATGCCCTGGGAAGCCCGTCGCACCCCTAAAGGCCGGTTGTCAGAGAGGGACAGCATTGACAGGCTCTGGAGTTCCAAGGCCGCTGCCCGGTGGTCCCGCGCAAACTCGGCCGACGTTCGACGTGAATTGCCAGACCGACGCGTCGGTATGTTCTCGGGCTACCAAACGTATGGAAGACAAAACATGGAAGACAAAACATGGAAGACAAAATGGCAATCGAGACGTGAGGGTTAAATCCAATAACCTCGGTATTGCCATGCGCCCCACACGAGGGGCCCGCATGGGTGCGTAGAGAGGCCCGACAAACTGACCTGACGCGCAACGTGTGTCAGCAAAAAATCATCATCAGCATCTGATGTCTCATTTGTGGGACTGAGAGCGCGGCTGTGCCTGGGCACCGGTCGATGAGAAGGCACAATCGACCCCTGCATTTGATTGGCGCGGCGCTCAGCAGCAAAGCGACGAAGTCCCGCCAGAGGGTGGGCATGACTGCTGTTGTGAAGGGAGGAACGGTGGGAACGCCGACTGGCATAAAGGGAGGAGTCATCGTCGCTCGAATCACCCGATTCAAATGTCATGACCTGCGCCATGTCACTGTCAAAGGACTGCTGCCATGGCTCGTCGCGGAACGACATTCGAAGTGTGTTTTGAAGCCCTGGCGTTGGCGTTGACGATGCCACCCGCGCCAAAATGGGACGCAGCCGCTGTACAAGCGCAGGCCAGATGTGCTCGAAAAGCTGACCCACGATAAGCGTGCGATCTACATGCACACGCGCCCACGGAGCAGTGAGCAATGCGCACTTCACGAGAGCAGATTGTTTAAAATCTGATGATGCTTCTGTTGCCGCTGGACATTGGCAGCGCTATGACAAACCTTGTTCGTCAGGATCTGGATGGGGATCGGTTTGATCGTAGGCAAAAACTTCTTCATAGTAGCCTTCCTGCTCCAGCACCGGGTCCTCGTCGGGGTCTTCGGCCCACGCCAAGGTCGGTGGGCGTGTAGCGCCAAAGCTTGAAGTGTTTGATGAAGCATCACCGCTGGGCACCAGGGGCACCCAGTAGCGACGGCCAGGATGTCGGTGGGACGGCTGGCCGGGAGACCATCGCGAGTTCTCAAGGGCCTCGTCAACGGCGTGATCCCAGGAAGATCGCTGTCGGCGCCCCGGACGCGGGATCTCAAACGAATAAAAGTCAAATGCAGCGTAGTCCCGGCCAGGTTCCTGAGAGACGCGTGGCCCGGAGACGGTCCAAGGTTTTCCAAGTACGCAAAGATTTTGGGCGTGCTGTGTCGGCTCGTGACCGCGAGGTGTGGTCCGGCCATGCGCAGGAGAGAACGTCGATTGGCGAGGGCCATTGGCACCAGTGGTCTTGGGCAAAGCATGTGGGACGATCATGACAATACCAGACTCGCGAACAGGAGCAATTTGGTGACCCTGCAAACGGAGATGAGGAAACTCGGTTCGCCACTGGCGACATTCATCCTGCACAATGGCGTTGAGGAGACTGGGCGAGGCCCGACCGGCCGAGAGGGCAGCCTGCGTGCCTTCGCGATCTATGGAGCGTTGAAAGTGCTCGCGATCAGAAAAGCGCTGGTTGCTGGGTGCCATCCTGGAACTTTCTAAACCGAAAAAATGTGTTCCTTGCAGGCTATAACTCGGACGCGGGGTGGGATCATTATCTGGATCAGTGCCATTAGAGGAGCTCTTGCGGAACATGGTCGGGGTTGGTTGCGCCGAGGGCGAGGTACGATCCGAGGCCGACACGGACGGCGAGTCTAGGGCAGACAAAGAAGCATTCTCGCCATAAAGCTGGCGGTCGATCGACTCCATCAAGATGGCCACATCGTTGGTGCATTGCCTGCGTAGCTCACGAGAAGGCACGAACATGGGGAAAAGATCAAATGCGTGGAAGGAAACCATAACGGTGCACAAGACAGTGTGAGCTCAACAGGCAAGCAGTTTGAAGGAAGCAAGATGACGAGCAGCAGGGCGCACATGTCAATCTCGTCGCCCTGCCAAGATGCGATGCTAGCTGTGGTGACCTCGGAAAAGGCCGCACTCCTGTAGGCGCGAGTCAAAAAGACCCAGGGCGAGCGAGGACAACCCGCGTGATCGATGAGCATGGGTTACATAGAGGAAAACATGGACCGGTAAACGGGCAAACATGAGAGTCTAGCAGAGGAGGACGTTGCACGTACGCGCGACCCGAGGTCATGGTGCTGGGAAGCACGTTTTGGGCACCAGCGCAACCAGCAGACCGGCTGAGATGAAGCGAGTGCGAAAGGATTGTCCACTAAGCCCCAGGCAGCGCCATGGCGTGGCAGGGACCGCCGTAACCGACGATCTAGCCCCACGCGTCCGGCTCTCTTTTTGCACACCGATAGTGCCAAGACACGACCGGTGCTGTGCTGGACGTGCGCAAGCAGGCACGCTTGGCGAGAAGGCTTTGCGAGCGTGGCGGCGAAATAGGCCCCACGATCGACACGACTATCCCCGGATCTTCACCACCAGGACAGCTTGAATAGCTTCTACACCCTCCAGGGGTGTGTGCAGGATGGGAACCGAGTACGCAGTGGGTAAGAGGCCGGTCCAGGAGGCGGTGCCCAGAAGCGACAAGAAGCGAAGCGCCGAGCGCAGCGGGGGCGCTTCGCTCACAGAGGAGAGCGTTCGGCGGCGAGAATCAGGTAGAGAGAAGATATGCCATGAGCGCTACCGTTAGAGAACGTGAGCAACAAGGCGAACAGCTCAACGATAAAGCCGTAACCAAACAGAGACAGAACCAAATGAGAGCACCAATGTCAGAGAGAGCAATCCAACCTAAGAGTCAACTCAGAGAGGCAGCACCGACATGAGCGGCGTTTGGTTTTCTTCAGCTTTTTTTTTTTTAGGTTGCGTTGTGAAGTGGTCATTGTCCACAACAGTAGTTTTGTTTCATCCCGAATTGTCAGCATAACGGGGCGAAAAGCGCGCTGGCGCGCATCTGGCGCATCGACGAATGGCGGATCGGGTGTTGTGACGGTGAGACGGGGCCGTGAGCCGGGGCCGTGCGACGGTGACGTGCGACGGTGACGTGCGACGGTGACGTGAGACGGTGACGTGCGACGGTGACGTGAGACGGTGACGTGAGACGGTGACGTGCGACGGTGACGTGAGACGGGACGGTACTGCTAACGAACAGGGGTGTCGGCAGCCTTGGGTGCCCTGGATGTTGGGAACCTTGACAGGATGCAGTTGATGACGATGACTGGTGTGGCTTTGGTGCTTTTGTTTGGATCCTCGATCGCGCGAGATGCGGCGGCAGCCACAGTGGACGTGTTGGTGCTCAGCGATGAGGAGTGTCCGTGGATCGCGACCCTGGCTGATGCCATGGCCGCCGTCAACCTCAGTGTAGCTTGGACAAACACGACCCTGCTGCTTGATGATCCCGGCGACACGCTTGCAAGCCTCAAAGCCACTGGGTACCTGGTGCTGACCAACGTCACGACATTTGCTCCTGCCCTCGCACCCGTCTACGAACGCTATGCTCGCGCAGGTGGTCAGCTGGCGCTTCTTGGTGGTGCTATGCCCACCCGCTGGTTCAATCAATCGGTCTTTACTCTCAATGCCCCGATTGACCACTGTACCTATACCATGTCCCAGGTATCTCGCGTCGTGGATGTCCAAACACCAGACTCGCGAGGCCTAGACTTTACCCAGCCGCTGGTCGGTGTTTCAGCCCTTGCCTTTGCTGGGCCGGGCCAAATGACCTATCTTCCACGCCTCGAAGCACGAGATGTCTATAATCGTACCCTGGGCTGGGCTCTGAGTTCCGCCTACTTTGCTCCCAACGCCCACTTTCCCAACGCCACCTGGCACCTCTGCGGCATGGCCTCTCCCGAATTTTACACACCCGAGTTCCTGACCTCCTACCTAGTCCCCTTGCTCGCATCGCCACGCCAAACCTCACAAACGACCTCAGCCTCGACATCAAAAACAAGCCATGCCTTGGGTCAAGTACCCACCTCAACACTTCCACCCTTGGCCGCCGTCTGCAGCAGCTCGGACGGGCACCTCCGCTTCTGTGCCAATGCCACGCGCTATTTCATGGTTGGTGCCAACTTATACCGGTGCGTACCTGTCTGCAGCCCATGTCCGTGCTCTCCCGCACCTTGACCTCTTTTCATGGGCTCAAATGGACTCGCCTAATTTTCCGTGATTTTTTCCTCAGAGCCTTTGACAACAGGCTGTCTTCTGCTGATGTGGAGAGCAATCTGCGACGCGCCCATGCGCTCGGACTCAATACATTGCGTCTCTTTAACTTTGCTGACTGGGTCACCACGGCACCAAACGCCACGGATAACCTGTTGCAGCTCCGTACGCTATGCCGAACCTACGGCATTCGGGTCATATTCACCCTCGACTATGACCCCAAGATCTTCCCGGCCAATGCCTCCCTAGATCAAATTGCCGCCCGCGCGTCTGCATTGGGCCGCGTGCTTCGAGATGAAGACTGGATCCTGGCCTATGACTTGGGCAATGAGCCCTACTTTTGGGAGCTGGCTTCCTTTCGCCTCGCGAATAATACTGATCAGACACTTCATCAGCGCTACCCTTACGATCAGCACGGCAACGCCTCCATAGCCAATTACCTGGCCTGGCTCAATCCTGGCGACAGTAGTCAATTTCAAAATCTACACCACGGCCTGCCCGTTCCCACAAACTTCTTGCCAGCCGTGCAGGACGTGGACAACATCTATCGTGCTTGGGCCAACGCCAAGGCAGGCGGGCTGCACTCTGCCGGCGACCAGCACATGATCACCATCGGGTACAACACGCTCTACGGCCTCCGCCCCTGGAATGCAGCCCTCCTCAACTTTAGCAACCACCATGTATATCCCAACGGCCCCAACTACCATACGCTCAACAACTTTAGCATGGCTGCGGGCGTTCCCACAACCCTTGACCGCTTGCTCGCCAACTGGGCCGCCCTCGACCTCAACCACAGCGTGACCCTGGGGGAGTTTGGCCTGAGCGAAGGTGATGACGTTCCCTGCAGCGCCACTCAACTCACTGGGTGTAACATCACCACCGCCGAATCCACCCTGTACGACTCGTTGCTATGGCTCTATGCCCTGGCCACCAACACGGATGGTGCCAACCGCTGGCGCATGAACGACATACCCCTACCCTTGGCGGCTGAACTTGATAGTTACATCGGAAGCATTCAAACCAATTACGCCAAGTATCGACAAGAATCTTATTTCGGCCTGTTTCTGGCCGACAATACCCTTGATGGCCGGCCCAAAACACTTGCGTTCTGGCTGCAGTTCTTTACCGCCTACTTACGAGCTCGCTTTCCACACCACCCCACCCTCAACATGACCCTGCACAGCGACGAGGGCCTGCTGAACATTGCCTACTCTGCCCACGGTGCCCAGTCGACTTTTTGCGGAGGCACGGGCCCTCAAACATGTGGCCCAGGCTTGCAAGCAGCGCCGATTAACACCCTGCACCCAGAACAACAGGCGCTCGCGTTGACGATTGGCGCGTTTGGTGTCGGTCGCAATGTGCGCGTCTTTGTGTCGCATGATGCTGAAGTCCATATCCACCTCGACCAGTTTTGCCTCGCTGGCAGTTCTCGTGGCCTTGTGGTCTTGAATGTCTCTGCCGGCGCGAATGTTCAGGTCCCCTGCACGGTGTAGATGTGCATCGAGGGGCATCTTCACTTTGCAAAGCTATATCTAATTGACTTTGTTGCTGAGAACAAGAAGACTGGTGCGCCCATCTCTCTCCCTCTCCCTCTCTCCCTCTGCTCTTTGTGATCAGCTTTTCAGAAATGCTCGAATATGTCGGGCGAGAAAGAATCGGTGAAAAGGTGGCTATTCGCGCAGTGGCGACAGCTGTAATGAAAAAGCTTTCACACCTCGTGCCAAGATAAAGGAGATGAGGTCGGAGGCTCGAGTGCGATCAGTGATCTGCCTTGAACTCTCTCGGACTTATGAGCAAATCGACAGATGCTCTTCAGGTGGACAATCGTGACTTGTTGGCAGCTGCTGCACGAGAGTCTGTTGCTTGTCGTTCTCGTACGGCATGAAGATCTCAATGAAGCTCTTCAAGAAGCGTGAGAATCCGCAATTCACGGCCAGACGATGTGGAGCCCAAGATGTGGATGTAAGAGAAAATAAAGTAACCAACCGTGTTGAGTTCAAAATTGGAGTCCGTTGTGCTTGTAAACGTGTTAACAAGCAAGGACAACGTTGCTGTATCATTTGTTTTTTTTTTTTTTTTCGTTTTTTTTTCTTATTTTCGACTGAAGCCCTGACAAGAAGCAATGGCGCTCAACTTTGATAAAATGTGGCAGGATCCGGTCACTGCCATGGACCACGCCAGTATTGGCGAATATCTCGGAGGTAAGCGAGAACCGTTTGCAAAGTGTGGAGGTGCAGCCGATTCAAAGTGTTGTGTTCTCGTAGGCGATCTGATTGGGCAAGCCAACTACTGCGCCATCCGACTGAGTCACGGCTTGATGGCAAGCGGCCACAAGATTACACAGCCGTCCGACTTCCGCGACCGAGAAGGCAACAAATACATCATTCGGGTCGCCACCATGCAGTCTTACCTGTCAAAAGTGCTTGGCACGCCGAAGGAAGTCACTTCAAAGCAGGCTATTGCGGGCCGCCGCGGCATCGTGCTGTTCACCATTGCTTACTCCGACGCCACTGGCCACGTCACTCTGTGGAATGGCAGCGACCTTCGCCATCCAGCTGGTACAGTTGATGAACAGTTCAGGAAGTCTACGAAAACCTTCTTCTGGCAGCTGTGAGCGGCATCGCTCTGCGGTAGCGCTGCTGCTCATCGAGCTGTTGACGAACGAGTCAATTGCACTTTGACTCGTTGATCGTCGTGTCATTGATGCATCGGTTAAGTGACCAGAAGGCATGCCTCCACATGACAACCGCCCGCGGACCAAGATGAAAAGAGTTAGGCGGCTTGAATTTCTGATTCGCTAAAGCGTTTTCGAATTCTGCGACGAACATTCGAGTTTTGTTTTTTTAAAATTGGATTGTGTCACCACAGAAAAAAAAAGACGGGATGCAACAGATTTTGCATGCATCAATAAAGCTAGTCCGAGTCCGAGTCCGACTCGTCCGAGTCCTCTTCTGACTCGGCCGTCTCCAACCAGACAATAAACTCGGCCACCTGTATTCAAGATGCGATCAGTGAGATAAAAAGACGAAAAAACCAAGAAAACCCCCAACAAGAAGAAACTGACGTTTTTGAGCAGCTGAGGTCGGATTTCAACGTCAATCTCAGGGTCCGTGGGACGCGCGTGCCACTAAAAAGGTAAAGATGGCCACAGTGGATGAGAACGGCATAATGAAGACAATTTTTGAACGTCAGCCCAGAGGTTTCGAGCATTTATGGCGCTTTACCCTAAGAATTTCTTCCTCAGCCAAGACGTTCTCCTCGTAGAGTGAATGCAGGAGAATCTGAAAGGCGGGAATGGCGCGCTGGCACTGGTTGAAGCCATCCTCAAGAGCACGCAGCATGATATCATGGTCCGTTTGGGATGTGACAAAGTTGCCCAAAATGGGGGCCAAAAACTCGATCGCCTATCACCACCACCACATACGAGTGACACCAGGCTATCAACCAAGACAAGAATGCACAAAAAGGGCTTTTCCCGGTTTAAGAGGGCAGGCTGGTAAAATCGTACTGACCCCCTTGAAAAATGTGGCCATGGCACCCGTGTTCTTGAGCAGGCCAACCCTACACGAGCAAATAAGCAGAATTCAATCACAAGATGAGAAAAGAGAAGAGATTAAAGCCATCCGACATGTCTCGGGTGGCCCTAGGTGTTAACATCGGGTGCACAAAAACGCACTGCTCAATGATGGCCATGGTCATGCCAGTAACGACGTCGTGTGGCGAGAGGTGATGAGCGCTGCGCATGCCAGTGATTTCAAGCGCAATGTCCTGTGTCTCGCCCTGTGGCTTGATGGTGCCATTGGATTGCACGCCCAGCTTCTCCGTCAGCAGCGCAATCATGTTGTCCAAAAACTCTGCGATAGCCAATCACGAATGTGAGGTCAAAGGTCAGGCAAGAAGCTGGGTCTCAAGATAGTGTAGGACGTGCGGGCAATGTACGCACGTTGAAAGTCATCTTGATTGAGCATGACCTGTTCAAACTCTTCGGCATCCAGCTCCGAAGCATCCTCGTCGTCTTCAGAGTTTTCCGCGTGCTCGTTATCTTCCAGGATGAGGCGCGCACGGTTATCTATAGACCAGAAACAAGAACGTCAATCAATGCGCACACGCAATGTCGATGCAGCAACTCGATCAAAGGATTGTGGAAAAGGAAGAGATCAAGTCAGCAATGGCCTGCTGCCACCAACCTTGCCATTGACGGAATGAAGCATCGTCTTCCTCATCCTCGTCAATGTCGTCCTGCCACAAGTAGCCACGACCCTGTTCGCCGACAAGCTCAACGTCATAGACACCCTCAGGCGTCTCGGCGCCAGTGCCCATGGCCTCATCCTCGTCACTTTCTTCGTCCGAGTCTGCGCCCCACTCTTCCTCAACCTGGTGAGAGGGCAAGCACAGCGAAAGCAGGTCCCAGTTTGAGCCGTGCGCACGAGTTTCAAAAATGAGTAAAGCATTGCGTCTCGGGCAATCACACATACAACTTGCGCACGCGAGATCTTGGTGTTGGGCTTGAGGGTAATGTTGGGGCCCAGCACCACCTGATGTTGTCCAATACAGGGTGGCAAAGGGATTCAAAATCAGTTGAAAGCTTCTTCGATATTGTGATATTGTACGAGTAAGCAGAGAAGCAGAGAAGGCATCTTGGTCAGGACTCCAGTCTTACTCGATCGCCAATGACACAACCCTCGCCAATTTCTACGTTGTCCAGCAGCTGCACGCCCTCGCCGAGAAACACCTGTTGGGAAGAAATGTGGAGACAGGCACTGAGATTTGCTTGGGCCAAACGGTGGACACGTCAATGGGTACACGTACCTTCTTCAAGCGGCAGTTGTTGCCAATGATACAGTCGTTCAGGACATAGGCGTTGTCCAGCGAGGAGCCAGAGCCTACAGATGGCAAAAACCGGCGTGCATGATCAGCGCTGCCAAGCTGCATTTGACATCAAGCCAAAACGCACCGATACGACAGCTGCTGCCGATCACACTGTCACGGATGGTCGTGACAGCCTGACCGTCAATGCCGACCCGAGTGTCGTGGCCCACAGCAACAGCGCGTTGGAGGACACATGTTCTATGGAAAGTCATAAATGGGGTAAGAGCGACCAGGCACAGCCAAGGTACACATGACATTTGCAAGATAATCCCATACCTTGCCAGAACAACGTTGTCTTGAATGTAATTGTGTGTGGTCTTGTAGCGGTGCAGAATCGGGCCAAAGATGTCAGGCACCAAAGGCAAGGTCCAGCGATGGATCACATCCTTACTACTCAAAAGGGCACATTGCATTGGTGAGTTTTCGGGCCCACCCGTCAACATCAGGGCCAAATTTCCCAAGCCAAACCTGATGGCATCGTAGGCCGTGAGGTTGGATGCCCTTGCAGCGTAGGCGCCATCCAGAACGTGCGTATAGATTTCCGCAGCCGTGATCTAGTAGGCGCAAGGGATGAACGGGTTGAGGGTTTGCCAGTTGGCCCAGGCACGGTGCAAGCAAGACAGAGGTTGGGCTGAGGAGGTGGGCAAGGCATACCTCGTCACCTTGCAGCACGTTGCGAATAAAGTCAAACATTTCTTGGTAGTCAAAGTTGTCAGTGAACAGCATGGGCACCTGCGGCTCCGACACACGCACAGTGCCAACTGAGAACGCGATAGATACATGGACTTGTTGGTGTCAAGGACAGGGAGTCATCTAGAAAGTGAGAGGTTTGCTTGCTGGCGGGCTGACCTGGGGCGAGCAGATGGCGGTGTGGCAGTCGATCAAGTCATAGCGGTAGGCCACCGACTCGCGTTCTGAGAAGAGGGACTGTAAAGTTGCACGGTGTAAGAAAAGAAAAGGCCAGCACAGAGTTTTGCATGTGACAAGAGGGTGCTGTCGAAAAGGCGTCGTACATACCAGTGCAAGCTCGTTTACAGGTTCCGAGTTGGAGTAAGTGAGCAGTCTAGAGGCGTTGGATGATCCAGAATCGTCAGGCAGAGAAAGTTCAAAAACCATCTTTGTCATGGCATGGCATGGCAAGGCATGACACGAACTGGGCTGTGGTGGGATCAATGCCAATGGTGAGATCGTTCTCGCCCGTGCGGAGCCGGTGGTTGGGCATGGCGCGTTGCAAGAACATGGTCATCAAGGTGTCCCGGTTCTTCGTGTAGCGAGCCCTGCGACGGTGGGAGCAAAGGGGGAGCAAGGCTTGGTGACCGGGCACAGGGGTGCCAAAGCGGAACAGGGGACGATGTCAATGCAAAAGGCGAGTGCCCGACCAAGTGCACATACTTGTGTTGTTCGAGAACCTGTGCCAGCTGAAAGTTGGAAACAACATCACCGCTCACGAGCACAAAGTGGTTCTTGATGACGCCCAGGCGGTCCACCTCACGCAAAACATCTCCCTCGGAAAGGGCTCTGCGCATTGCGGTTCGGGGGGAAACAGGGTTAAAAGAAGCACATGGGGAGCGCTACCCAAAAGTGATGATACAAGCACAGACAGACGCCTGGTCTGGGTCCCAGCTCTGGGTCCAGAGGGGCAGAGTTGGCAGCACGGCGAAACAATGGCCACGAACCGAGGCGAAGCGATGGTGTTGATGCTCATTGTCTGGCGCAAGCGGTCACGGCTGGGGTCATTAATATGTTTTGCGATCATGTCGGCGTGCGAGCAGCACACAATAAAGGTCTCCTTGACATCGTTGGCCGCCAAAAACTCTGCGTGTCCGTGTCGACCAGGTGACGCGCGTGAGCTTGGCAGCTTGTTGGCTCACACGAACAAGAGCAGAAAAAAAAAAAAAAAAAAGTAGCGCGTGGGCGAGTTCAACTTACCCAGGGTGTAGTCGAGCAAGGGGACATTGACGAGCGGCAGGAGCGCGCGAGGTCGCGAGGCCGTCAGCGGCGCAAACCTACATCAAACATTGATAACGAAGAGGCACGGTCACAAACCAGTGGAACCATCCCCTCCGGGTCTCGTCGTGCAACA